AATCTGCTTCATGTAGCTCGTCGTCACCTGGATGAATGATCATCATCAGAAACCTTCTTTTGTCCTCAATACAACACGCAATGCAACAGAACATCACTGTGACGATGTTGCTCTTACCGATCGCCCGTCGATGCTGACGGACCCCTCGAGGCTTCCCTTGGCGATCCTGCCGGCGAGCGCGTCGAGGAACGTGGACTTGCCGGCGCCGCTGGGCCCAAGGATGGCGGTGACCTGGCCGCGGAGCGCCTGGCCGGAGATGTCGTTGAGCAGGTACACCTCATTCTTGACCTTCACCCCGTCCTTCTTCTGCTTCTTGATGACGCTGTAGGACAGCTCCTTGAACTCCAGCCCCTGCCCGGGGAAGTTGATCACCTTCTCCCCAGGGACCGGCACTGGCGGCCGTACGGGGACTTGGCCACCGCCGCCGCCGCGGTGGTGGTGGTGCTGCTGCTGCTGCTGCCTGCCGCGCGCGTCCCCCGCGGCATCGAGGAGGCTCTCGAGGCTCTTCTTTCGCTCCGTCGTCTGCCACGCGGGCATCTCAGCCGCAGCTGTAGTCGTAGTCCTCCGAGCGTCGCCCGCCCGTTCCGTGGCGTGGTGGGTGGCATGCTGCATCTCGGCCCGCTCCATGCGGTGCCCGACTGGCCTCTCTGCCCGCTCCGCGCGGTGACCGTCGGCCGGCATCTCGGCCCGCTCCATGCGGTGCCCAACTGGCCTCTCTGCCCGCTCCGCGCGGTGACCGCCGCCGGCTGGCATCTCGGCCCGCTCCATGCGGTGCGCGGCTGGCCTCTCTGCCCGCTCCGCGCGGTGGCCGCCGGCCGGCATCTCGGCCCGCTCCACGCGGTGCCCGGCTGGCCTCTCTGCCCGCTCCGCGCGGTGACCGCCAGCCGGCATCTCGGCCGCCGCTCTGTGGCCTCCGTTGGCATGCTCCCGGCCGTGCCTCCGAGCGCCCGCCGTCACCTCGTGCTGCTGCTGCTGCTGGCGATGCATGCTTGTGCTAGCTTAGCCTGCGCTGCAGCTGTTGCTCTGCTAGTATGCTCTGATCTTATAGGGGTTATTATATATATTATAATTATATTGGTGCTACCTTGCTTTCCCTGCGAACAAGGAGGTTTCTGAGTCTGCTATGTGGTGGTGTTGGTCGCGGCCGAACACAGCCAAAAATGGGGTGTTTTGTCTGGTATTTGCAGCATTGGAAGTGATGTTTCCGCTGGCCTTGGTTTTGCAGGAGCCTCTTTGGTGCATAGCTCCGGATCGTTGGGATCTGCAACAATGCGCTTGGCCGCTTGTGGTTTTGTAACAGCAGTGATAGTTACTGCTACAGCTTGGACTTGATTTTACTCTAGAGACAGACAGTGAGACACACATGGCATGGATCTTTTTTGTTTCTAGACTAGAATTGGCTAACCCAATGCGGTTTCCTGGACGCACTCTGCATGCCTCGATGCCCCACTGTTCTGAACTGACTACGATTGTAGTGTTCTTTTTTTTTTCCCAAAAAAATCAAGGCTGCCTTCATTCATTAACACAAACATTTGGAGTTTAGAACATCCTATATGCAAACAGGAACACACTGCTGGATGGTTGAAGTAATTAAGCAACGCACTCGCTCTGGCCGATAGATGTGCCACATCTCAGTCACGCCACGTCTTAGGAAAAGAGAACGAAACAAATTAAAGTTGCTTGCCAAAAACTTGACATATAAGCAACAATATCACCGGTAATCGAATCGGAAGCATCCACTTTTCAGATCATCATCAAGCAATCATTCAGCAAGATCGCCTTGCGGGAACCTAAACCTGCAGTGAAAAAGCATAGCACATCAAAGAGCCAGTGCTGCTACAAAACCTCCAGCGAAGTGATACAATGAAAAGACTGACAATTGCACATCAGGCACCTCCCCATATGGTCCTGCACCACCACACTAGCTTGCTGAACTTGATGACGAAGAAAAGATTGATGCATGCATCCACATTAAAGGCAAATCAAACTAATCAACAGATTTTGTTTAAATATTTAACCTTCTTTAAATTATATTTAGAAAATATCATATCTAGTTTTTTTATTTCCCATCACTGCTATACATATATTTCCAACGTCAATTCTAAACCCCCAATCACCATGGTCCACAAGCTCAGCTCATATTTTAACGACGAGGCGGCCGCACTTCTAGAAAGCATGAAAGAGGTATTTGGACCAACCCACGGTGTATCTTCACCTCTATGATATAACTCAGGTGAGACTCTAGCCCTGAACATAGTTTGACCCACATTGCTCTACCAATTGTACCAATCGTGCAAATCATGCATTCTTGTCGACAAGTTATGGAGCTCTTTTGGGTCCACCAAATCTTTGCCAAGCTCATATATACTTGTATGCAATGGGTGTTGATTCAGTTTCACGGCCTCCTTGGCACAACTCTCATACCCTGAACTCTTCCTCTGTGAAGCCCATAACAAGAAAGCCACAAGTTTGAAATCTTTCCAAGTTGTGAGAGCTTATAACAAGAAAGCAACAAGTTGTGAGAGCTTATAACAAGAAAGTGAAAAACAAATCTTTTCAGGTTGGAGATTTAGTATGGAAAACTATTCTACCTCTTGGGGTGAAAAGTAACAAGTTTGGCAAGTGGTTACCTAGCTGGGTGGGTCTATTAAAAGTGATCAAAGTGGTGTTTGGAAATTCATATGTGCTGGAGACCTTGCAAGGTGAGTGTCTACCAAGAGCAATTAATGGGAGGTATTTGAAACAATACTTTCCAAGTGTCTGGCAAGAAGCTTGAAAACTATTTAGGCAATGACCGATACATCTATCGCCCTTAGAACAAATATGGCCGATGTTTACATCACCCTTAGTCGCTAGGTAGCCGATGAGTTGGACATCGTTGCTATTTAGTTTTTCTTATGTTTCAGGTTCATCTAATGCTTCACCTAAAAACATGGGGACATATGTTGATGATAAAAAAATGACTGAAGACATATGATGGCATTCGAACAATGTTTCTGGTGATAATATAGTAACAAAAGTCAAGTATATTTGCAACGTTGTGCAAGTATCCGGAGGAGAAAAGAAGGGGGAAAAAGGGGACATCAAGACCCTACCAAACCGACCTGGCTAGTCCTCAATCCAGCCAGGCCGGCCTCCCCTTAAACCGGCCTAGCCAGCCATGGAACCAACATGGCTAGCTGGCTACCGCTGTTGCGCCCCTAGTGGACCGACTAGGGCGGCTGGTTGTTGTGGCCGCTCCCCTTGCTGACCGGCCAGGCCGGCTGACTTCTACTACATGCCTTGCTGAAGCCCTGGCCGTCCCCCTGAAGGAACCGGCTTGGCTGGTTGGGAGGCCGGTGGAAAAGGACAAGGACGATAGAGATTGGAAAGATAGAGACCAAGCATCAAATCTTCTAGTCTACTTCCAATCTTTTGACTTTGTATTTTACCTGCATCTCTTATTGACCACATTAACCATCATAAACACTTTGTCATTAGCATTGCAATGCAAGGATCAAGACATTGTGAATGCTATGATAAGCGTTTGAAATCATCTAGATTACATATGTGTAACCTTAGAAGAGATGGTTGGGGCAAAATATTAGATGAAGTAAACAAGTATTGTGAGATGCATGATATTGCAAGGTTAGAAATGGCAGATGCATATATGGATCCCACAAAATCTAGGAAGGCATCTAGAATTACAAACAAGCATCACTATAAAGCGGATTGTTTTAATGAGGTTATAAAGTGGCTAGTTCAGGAGCTTTATAGTCGCTTTAATGTGACAAGCTCTCGGTTGCTTGTTTGTTCAGTCGCTTTCAATCCAAGATAATCATTTCATGATTTTAATGTAGAGAGTTTGATAAACCTAGCAACATTACATCCTAGTGATTATAACTCTGAAGATTTGAGGGATCTTAGCCACCACCTTGGCCTCTACATTGCTGATGTGAGAGAAGATAATCAATTCTCCAACATAAACACTATCAGTGAGCTTTCACAAAAAATGGTGGACACAAGAAAAGATCATTGTTATCCATTGGTTTATCGATATTTATAACTTGTGCTGGTATTGCCAATTACTACTGCAACAGTGGAGAGAATATTTTCGGAGATAAAGATTGTGAAACATCTCTTAGTAACCGGATCGGTGAATACGCACTTGGTTTATTGACATTTACAATCTTTTGTTTGTAATAACTGTGGGATTCTCTAACTATATTTTGAGAAATAGTAAGCACAAATGCACTATTACTGCTACTTTATTGTTGATATATATTATTATTGCTTGTTTTTAAATTATAAATGTTAAAATCATTACATTATTAATTTGTCGCATGCTGTGGAGTCAAAGTCAATGGCCATGAGGCCGTGAGCGCGTGAGGCGTGACTAGAGCAACATGGCATGTCGTGATGTCGGCATGTTATCAAGCAGCGCCTTTCGGAGTGAGCTGTAACCCACCCCACCCATCCTGTTCCATGTATCATGGAATGTTAGGTCAACAAGCCTTGCCGATCGGTGCCTTATTGCCGGAGCTCCTCCCGAACCCGAAGGCTGCACGGACGCGGGACGCCCTCTCGTTTCCTGTCCGAGCTGATTCAAAGCTCTTCACCTAGCACCTGGTAATCTTCTGCGGATTGGGAGATCTCCTTTTGAGTGGGTTCTGTTGTTGGCCATTCTTCTGTAATATATGCAGATTAATTTGTTCGTAAGAGTTTTCAAAGATTATAGAGTATAGACTGGTGTTGAGATTCTTCCAGCTTGTGTTTGTAAGTAGTGACGGGTGTTTCGACCAAAGACGCAGCGTTATCCTTTACTTGAGGTTGCTAATCTCCTTGCACTTTGTTTGTTTTGTACATTTTCTGATTTTTTTCAGGGAGCTCACCAGAGTCCAGATACGGTGAGCAATCACTCCCAGGTGTTGAAGAACAGCAGCGGCTCGAGCTCATTATTGCTATTCAGCTCTTCTCACAGGGGCACCCAGGGACTGGGGGCGATTCAGAGCTGTGCAGCCATGGCGGGAGTAGCGGGACTACTCACGTCAGCTTTAGTGAAGATCGTGGGCGATAAGCTGGGTTCCACCATCGGACAGCAAGCCAATTTGGTGTGGAACTTCAGCCGCGACCTGGAGGACATGAAGGACACCTTGGAATCCATGGCGGCAGTGCTCAAGTACGCCGAGAGGAGGTCAATTAGGGAGGATTCAGTGCGCCTGTGGCTGAGGCCCTGTTTGGTTTCTACGGTCGCTTCTAAAATTTCTGTCACATCAAATGTTTGGATATATGCATGGAGTATTAAATATAGACTAATTACGAAACTAATTGTATAACTTATGACTAATTTGCGAGACGAACCTTTTAAGCCTACTTAGGCCATGATTTGACAACGTGATGCTACAGTAAACATGTACTAATGACAGATTAATTAGGCTTAAAAAATCACCTCACAAATTAGCCTCCATCTATATAATTGGTTTTGTAATTAATCTGTATTTAATGCTCCTTATTGGTATCTAAACATTCGATGTGACATGAATTTTAGGAGCGACTGAAGAACCAAACACCTCTTGAAGCGCATCAAGAATGCCGCCTTGGACATCTCTGACATGTTGGACGAATTTGAAGTCAACTCTAAACTAACCCATGGAAAGGTACGATCAGAGCTATATGCACAATGCTATATATGGGAGATATAAGTTTATTTAGGCATAAGATGACATGGGATGGTATCATCCCTGCTTTTTTTATGGATTAGGCGCATTTAATTCCCTCGCTCTTTGGACGGGATACCTCTGGGTGTATTTAGTTCCATCGCTCGGCCTTGTATACCTTATCTGATTGGTTCATGACCACAACGTGTCACGCCACAAGTTAGTCATGTCATGGTTTTTTTTGTGCATCTGTTTGGTTTGCTGCCACAATTACGGCGTACCACACTTTTTTGAAACCATGTCGCACATGTCATATACTCATTTTCTTGCCAAACTTTTGCCACAAGTGTGGCTTCAATTTTGCTCGCCAAACTTTCTGTCATAGCCACGGTTTGCCGAAGGTTTTGCGTGGCAAATTACAGCACCAACCAATCAGGCCATCCTTTGGATGTTGAGCCGGTGGACTAGTGAGCCAAATTAGCTCGTGCTCGCCTGGCCTTGCAATGCAAGTTCTTTGTTATCTACTATGCTGACGAGGTGAGGCGAGGCTACATTTTCCTAGCTATCAACGAGGTGTTTGAACAAAATCTTTATTATATTGAGCGCGCGTGCGTTGCTACACTACGGAGGAGACGCACGCGCGTGTATGACACTAGAATTAGGGGAGGGAGCGATGGGTAGAGTTGTTGATGAGGTCATTGTGGGCTGGGCAACGGTGGACGAGGCGGCGTCTCTGGATTTAGGTTAGGATTTTGGAATTCAAGAGGACTCCAAGACCGGTGGCCTTAGAAGAGGAATGGGCGGTGATGGGTTGATGGATGGCGAGTGGGCAGTGGGGGACAACTAGTTAGCTAGAGCTAACGCCACGAGTGAGGAGTTACCAATGAGGTTGCCGATTAGAATTAGGGAAGGGTAGGGAAGAAACGGTGGAGGGTGGACGACAGACGGGGAGGTCACTGACGAGGTCACAAGGGCCAGAGCCCAATAGATATAAAACTAGGCTCTCAACCCCCCTTACCCCCAAATCAATTTCTCAAGGCCAAGTAGTACTTCTGGCACAAGCGGATAAAAGCGGATGTCTCCCAACTGTTGCCACCGCTGCCACCGCTATCATCCCCCATGATACAGCCTCGGTCCCCCTCCTCTCTCCTAACCAGGGATCTTGCCGGTAGATAGAGGAGCTGGGACCTAATCCATTTCCTTTACAATTTTAGGTTAGGTTTGCTAATCTTTATTGATTTAGGGTTTGGTTTCTGGTGTCATCAGCGAGGTGGTGGCAATGATGATGTTTTGGAGTAAGATCTCTTCGGTCTCTCCCTACCTCGACAACGTCCGATCTAGCGTCGACAAAGGGCCACCGAGAGTTTTGTGTGTCAGGTCTATTAATCCTCTTTAAATTAGTTGGTTGGCTTTCGATGCGACGATCACAACCTCTTCTTTTGTTCTACTCTTTTTTGTGAATTGTTCTACTCTACAGCAAGTGCAATCTTCAAGCTTTGTTCGATCTTCAATATGTTTTTCTTAATTCTTGTTCCTGTTTCTTAAATTCTAATCCCCTGTAATTTGCTTCACCTTCTGCCATTGGATCACCTTCAGTCCCAATGTGTTTGGATCAAGAGGGTTGGGATGGGTTAGACCATTTTCTAAAGTGCTTGGTTATGACTAGTGGGTTGGATTCAGCCCAAGACAGGAATATTCCCTCTAGATGAGGGTTCACATGGTACCTCTAAATCGAGAAAATCATCTCGACCCAGATGATGGACGCTGTCGACTCCTCCGTTGTCGACCGTGGGCGAAAGGATGCTTGGGGCCTTCTCCATCGCCAGCGCGGACGAGCTCTGGCTCCTAGGCATGTCGGCGTGATTTAACTTTTTGGCGCCCGACCATGGCGTGGTGGCACACGCGCCGAGGCGAGCCTCGGCCATGGTGTGGGGTGGCGCGGCTGGGTGACCTCCAGCCTGACCCTCGGCGATGCAGGGGTGACCTCGGCCGCCCGGCCATGGCGGCATAGCCCCAGTAGGGGCGTTCCAGCCCCAACCATGGCGCAAAGGCGGCGACTACAGGGTAAGCGCCACGCAAAGCGAGCTCAGCCCCCAACCATGGCGCGCACCGTGAGCTCCGTGCATGGTGGCGCGACACAGGCAGCAGCACATCGGCTTTCGTCTCCTGCTAGAGGTGGAAGAACACATAGGAGTGGCGACAACATGGGCCCATGATGACAGCTTGGTCCCATGATGACTAGCAACTAACGGTGTTGAAAAAATTATCAATTCCATCTCACTCTATCCCTTACACCAAATAAAAAAAGGATTAAGTCCACTTTTGATTCCTCAACTATTGTGTCGGTCTAATTTTAACCCTTAACTACAAAACCGTCTAGTACCAAAACTTCAAATCAAAAACCGTTCATTTTAGCAATAGTTGAGAGGCCAAAAGTGCACTTAATCCATAAAAATTGAAATGGCTCCATCCTTCAAACCAAACACATGATGGGTTCAACCCAATCCTTAAAACTGAGATAGGCCCAACCCAACCCATGTCGTCCCAAAACCAAAGACACGTGTAGTGAGGTTGAGAAGGACGTTAGGTCTGAAGAATGAAGTCCGGCCCTAGACTTAAAATCAGTACTGATTTTGGATATCAACAATTGGAGGGCCAAATATGAACTGATCAATGTCAGTTAGTCCATCTAAAAAATTGGTAGTTAGAACTACTAAAAAATTAGTTCATGATTAGTCCATCTTCAATCTATCATCCCACGCTGGACTAAGCTTTAGTCCTATATATAACAATCTAACCTTTATCTTTCATGCATTTCATCGAGCATGTCGCGAGCGCCGCCCCGTTCGTTGCCACGCACAGAGAGCGCCGCCCCCGTTCGTTGGCGCTGCCGTTGCCACGCACAGAGAGAATCGCCCGCATCCTCTCCTGGGACGAACATGCAGATCGTTGCAACGTAATTAGTGGCTGCGAGGCGGTGGGCACGATGCCAAGTCAATGAATGCTACTCCTACATGTACATGTACTTATTATGCTATAGGGAACCTGCAAACGGATCGAAGCATTTCATCGCACCAGATTTTGTGCCGCCAAATCATCATAATACAAACTACTAGTATACATTAGCTACTCCTACGTACCAGTCCTAGTACTGCCTACTCCTCCTATAGTATATATACAAATACAATATACGGATAACACGTCCGGACCAGAACATTGGGCCCCCACGGCACGTCCTGCAGAGCTGTTCGGCTGATAAGCCAGCTGATGCTGATTTATTATGAAAGAAAAACAATATACTATGATTGATAAGCCGGGCTAATAAGTTCAAGCGAACAGGTCATTCTGTGATCCATTGGTGGGTGTGGGTGTGGGTGCGAGGGCCCTGGGTGTTTCTAACACTGTGTTCCAATGCCAAATCATATATGAGTCAATGAACGTTATGTTTGACTAAATTTGTAGAAAATAGTATTGACATTTGAATCTCAAGGTAAATAGGTATGGTATAAAAAATATATGACATGGTTAATCTAATAATATATATTTTGATGTCATAACCATATATAGTTCTTTTTCATGTATATTTGGTCAAACTTAAAAGCGATTGACTTCTCGATGTGCAAGATGTACACATTTTGTGACGGAGTGAGTATATAACACAAACAAAAACGGTTACCTAATAAGCTAGGCCCTTCGTGTACACATATGAAACTTTAGGTACCATGTTTGACTATGACTATGTCCCGGCCATCAATGTTTCTGGGGGCATACTGCTTGGGTGGCATAGAGACCACTGGACCGCTTCTGGAGTGATGAAGGGGCGCTACTCCATGTCGGCGAAGCTAACTCCAGTTGGGTCACCGGTCCCTTGGTGAATCATGGTGGTTTATGGGCCACAGCACGATGACGCGGAAGTTGAGTTCCTGAACGAGCTCCTACATTTCAGAGAGGCAAATCATGGGCCTTGGCTCCTCTGTGGCGACTTCAACATGATTTACCAAGCCGAAGACAAAAACAATGATCGGCTTGATCGTCGCAACATGAGAAGATTTCGGGCGTTCATCAACACGGCGCACTTGCTGGAGATCGCTCTGGTTGGGAGGCGTTTCACTTGGTCCAGCGAGCGTGAACGCCCGACTCTTGAAAGGTTGGATCGCTTCCTGGCGTCAGTGGACTGGTTCGTGGCCTTCCCGTACCACTGTCTCAAGCCTCTGTCTACAGACTGCTCGGACCATTGTCCGTTGCTGCTGCAGCTCGACACTTCTCATGGGGCCAAGCGGAGGTTCAGGTTTGAGTCTTTCTGGACCAAGCTGCCGGGATTTTTAGATGTCGTGGCCCTTGCGTGGTCGCGGTCGTTGATCAACGCCGACCCTTTCCGCTTGCTTGACTTCAAGCTACCGAATGTGGCCCGGGCTTTGCAGAGCTGGAGTGCCACCAAGATTGACAGTGTCAGGTTCCAGCTCGCGCTGGCACGTGAGGTCGTGCTTCTCTTCGATGAGGCTCAAGACTACAGAACCCTAACTGTGCAAGAGGCGGAGCTGCGGAGGTCGCTGAAGCTGAGAATTCTTGGCTTGGCTTCGCTGGCCTGAACTATTGCCAGGCAAAGATCACGGCTTCTCTTCCTGGCCGAAGGAGACACCAATACAAAATTCTTCCACCTACAAGCATGCCACCGGAAGCGGAAAAGCCGGATCGACTCCCTCACGGTACATGGAAGTGAGGTGGTCAGGGACGACCTGATGGCACAGGCCCTGTATGAGCATTACAATGCCATCTTGGATCCAGTTTTGAACGATCGAGGAGAATCAACTTGGACGCCATCGGGTTGCCGTCGCTGGAGCTCAGTGGTTTGGAAGATCTCTTCACCGAGGAGGAGGTGCGTTCTGTGGTCTTGGACCTACCGAACGACAAGGCGCCGGGGCCAGACGGATTTACTGGCCTGTTCTACAAAAAGGCGTGGGACATAATCAAAGTTGACATCATGAACGCGTTCAATGCGTTTTGGTCCCAAGATGCAAGAAGCCTGAGTCATCTCAACGATGCTTACATGATCTTGCTAAAAAAGAAGTCGCAGCCGGCAGAGATACGTGACTACCGCTCGATCAGCCTGATCC